GCTATTGCCCACCCCCACCCACACCCGCTCCCACTCCCACACCCACACCCACACCCACACCCACACCCACTATGTTCACTTTTTCAATTTTTGTTGTAATTGTATTGTTTTTAATTAATTTGCTTAATTTCTTATAATGTATTTTATGTAGTTCAGTTTTTATTTTGCTTGGTGTTTGGTATATCCATTGAAGGTCATTTTGGTGTTTTCTGTTTGGTTGCTATTCTTTCATATATATATTCAAAATCGTCATTTGTATTTTTATTTGAATATTATTTATTTTATTTGGTTTATAATACCATTTTAATGTGTTATCTCTTATCTTTATCAGTGCATTATCTAATATTGTTTTATTTTTTATAATTGTTGGTGTTTTGTTTTATAATAAAACCTTTTGATATAATGTGTCACTATTTACATTCTTTTAGGGATTCTATATGGTATTCAGGTTTTGTTTGTTTTATTAATAATTTTTCTAGTTTTTTTTGCAATTGTTGGTGTTCTCTTTTCGTAGAGGATTTTATATTCATTTGTTGTAAGGAAGATCATTTAGTTATTTCTTTGTTTAATTTTTCTTTTTCTCTTTTCCTATTGTTTATATACTTGTTTACTGTTGATTCTTATGTTTTAATTAATTAATTAATTAATTAAATAATATTACAATAAGTAAAGTAGTATTGAAGACGTTTCGGGAACAGATATTCCCTTCTTCAATTCTATTTTATGTTTTATTTTATTTTCTTCTATGCCTATTTTGTTTTTTATTTTTCTTCTAGAGTGAACGGACGAATGAATCACACAAATTCTTAAACCAGTATTATCGTCCTGCCAGTCCATTCCACCACAAAAGAAAAATAAAAAACAAAATAGGCATAGAAGAAAATACAATAAAACATAAAATAGAACTGAAGAAGGGAATAGCTATTCCCGAAAAGTCTTCAATAATTCTTTACTTAGTGTAATATTATTTAATTAATTAATAAATTAATTAAAAGATAAGAATCAATAATAAACAAATATAATTACAATAGGAAGAGAGAAACAGAAAAATTAAACAAAGAAATAACTAAACGACCTCCCTTACAACAAATGAATTTTGCTTTCTACTGAATCATCGATTTACAGGAAACAATTTACATTGACATGACTTTCTTTGGAAAAAATGTGTTGGGTAATACAAAGTCCTTACGAATTGTTGAGCAAACCATGCTTCTTTTAAAGAGGAAAAAAAATCATGCAGTTGCTTTATCTTTGTTTCTATATTATGACTACTTCTATTTCTTTTATCTCAAAATGTTATCATCGACATCAACCCGTTTTGCATTTATAGATGTCTGTCACATTGTGTTATCGTTTCACCGAAGTGAGAAATCATTAGCGAATGGGTGCGGGGTAACATCGAATATTTCAAACTCACATGTAACAGACAAACATCATGTGATACATTTATACAGTACTAAGTTGAGTGTTAATCGGAATTCAAATTGTGTATCAGTTATCAGAGAAGGCAGAAACATTTTTTGCCAGTCACGAAATTTGTTAAATTTCGCGTATTCGATGAAATTTCAAATGAAAAGAAGCAGACAGAGCCATTATTTCACTTAATTCAGATTATAAGAGTCTGTGATCTATGTACTACTAATATTTAAAGTGCTCATAAGACTAAATTAGTACCTTATCAAATGCATTAACTGATTTAACTCATTTTCTTTGAATGTTTGTCTAAAAAACTTATATGAGAAAAGATTTTCTTTAGATCTTGCATTCACTAAAAGATCGTGCGAATGTCGACAACAGGATTATCATTTGATTTTGATACAAATGACAATAGTTTAGAAGATGGAATCTACGATAACTCTGATCTCGATGACAACGATGATTACAACTCAGATGATAATGATGATTGCAACTCAGATGGCAACGATGATTACAACTCAGATGATAATGATGATTGCAACTCAGATGACAACGATGATTACAACTCAGATGATAATGATGATTGCAACTCAGATGACAACGATGATTACAACTCAGATGATAATGATGATTACAACTCAGATGATAATGATGATTGCAACTCAGTTGATAATGATGATTGCAACTCAGATGACAACGGTGATTATAACTCCAATGAGAATGAAGACTCTAATGATTTCACATCCTATGATAGCGATGCTTTCAATGATTACAACTTCAATGAGGATGAATATTCCAATAGTTTCGACTTCGACGAGGACGACAATTCTTATTCTAGAGTAAATAGAGAAATCAAAGCATTCCATTTAGCTAGACATAGCATACTTAATGGCTCAACAAACTCCAAGTCGTCTGCTCCATTTCTTAGTGATTCACTTAAAATCTATTTGAACACACCGTCACTTATTCGAGAAATTCGAAACACGGGGACATACTGTTTAGTGATTGATCCAGTTGCTGATGAATCTGAACGTATGCCTTTATCAAGTCCTCAGGTGTATGTAGGCAAAATACCAAATTCTGCAAAATGGTATGATTTAAAAAATTGGTTTATTGAACGTGGTTGTAACGTGAGTCGTGTTGACTTGAAAAAGAATCAAGTAAGATCAATTTCATGAATTTATTATTTTGTGTTTGGTAGTATATCAATTTTAGAAAGGTTCTCATTATGCTTTTGTTCGCTTTGACTGTGTAGCCACTGCCGCTGAAGTTCTGTATTACAGTGAAAACAAAAAAGCATCCTTCAATTTTAACGGTCATTCATTATATGTGAAGCGCTGTATTTCGTCCACTCAAAAACATGCTAATACTTCAATGGAGATATCAACTGCAGATAATTCAAAGTCAAACGTGGTTTTGAAAATAACTGATATTCACTATGGTACATTAATAGCAGGATCATCTCTGAAAATTATACAGACTATCAAGAGTGAGACTTCAAATATTGACCAATTTGGTATCATTGCGCATACTTTTGAAACAAATCAATGCAAAGATATCCAGCTAGAAGTCAATATTGAAAAGAAAAGCATAGTGATAGCAAAGGCATTGAAGCTAAAGTCCGAACCTCAGTCTATTAATTGTATTACACTAAAATTTCAATGGAGTTTTTATGAGTAAGTTCTTTTTTGTTTTAGTTAAATACTCAGAATACCGATTTTTAACTTTACTAACACAATTTTTATGAAACCCAAATTAGTTTCTTTTTAGCTTTTGATTTGTCTGAAAAGAAATCTTTGTCAAATTTAGTTTGAAACGTAGAAAGATAACGGTAGTTTTAATCAACGACAATGAAGTCTTTTTATTGATGGAAGTTAAGCGACCTCCAACAATATTAGAAACAACAGGCAATGATTCTTCAATCCCTGAAAGTTCTGAAGAAAAGCGTCTACCTGGCTTTGAGTTAATTGGCCATGCTAATGTGTGGCTCTTTAAACTAGCTCCAGATGAAGCGGATGATAATATCAAAAAGCTATTCGATTTACTACATGATAACAATTTATCACCAGGAAATCTATTCAAATCTGACATCATTCGTTCGATTAAAAATATTGATTTTGCCAAGAAAAACTTTGAACCCATGACGTTAATATCAAATGACAAATGGATATTAGAAAATCAAGCTAAAATAGATAAGTTTTTTAATCATCAATGGTCATTGTATCCTTTTGAAACGAAATTCGAAGTCATGAAACTTATTTCGAAACATATCATCACAGTTCATGATTTGATTGTCGATGAACAAGTTGAACATATTCTGCAGTTATGTTCAATTGATACATTAGTTGCTCTTACTGGTAACTAGAAAAAGAAAAACACTATTGAATTTTATTATGTTAATAATGCTCATGATCTTTACAGATAAGATTTTCGAGTTTGCTCTGCTGTGGTGTGCTAAAACGTTTGATAATGAAGATGAAGATAGAAGTAATGAAAATGAATCTGAAGAAAATCAATTGTCAATCAATATAGACGATCTTTCGATCGTAGATGACGATTCTTTCATTTCTAAAAACATTCGACTTGCTGCTACTGGAGGTGTCATCAATGCTGAAACAGCATCAAATATGACAACTGTGACATGGCTGGGACCGAAAAAGTATTCAAGTGGAAGATTAAGCCGTCTGTTTAAGTTAGCTTTTGAAAAATTACTCAAAAAATATGAACTTTGTAGAACAAAAAATGGCATTATTCTAACTAAACTTGAATTACGTACAGCGAAGAATGATTCGCTTTTAACGCGAAAGATATATATAACACCCTCAAGCATTCTTTACGAAGGTCCTTATTGTGAAGAAAAGTGTGTTGTTACGCGTCAGTATGTTCAGTATCAAGATCGATTTCTTCGCGTGGCTTTTCGTGATGAGGGTAAGACGCATGATTTTAAAATAATGCTTTAAGTTTTCATATGACATCAATTTTCAATGTAGATTATCGTGCATTACATAATTACAACGACAATATGGCGAAGATGTACGAACGCATTAAAAAAATTTTGAAAAACGGAATCAACATATGTGATCGAAACTATCAATTTTTAGCTTTTTCAAGTTCACAATTACGCGAACATTCCTGTTGGATGTTTGCTTCACCAGACGATCGTACTACAGTCGATACTATTCGTGAATGGATCGGTGATTTTCGGAATGTTCATCCTGTAGCTAAATTAGCTGCTCGTGTATACTTAATAAAGTGTTTATTTTGATATTTTGAAAATCTGTTATCTTTCTACCTAGTTAGGACAATCATTTTCCACCAGTATGAAAGGTATCCAGTTGGAAAATCATCGAATAAATGAAATACCAGATGAGAAAAGATGCACAATAGATGCAAACGGTAGCCATGAATATTGTTTCACAGATGGTATTGGCATTATTTCTCTTCCATTCGCCAAAAGACTAGCTAAAGCCATGAAATTACCTGAACAAGTTTATCCATGTGCATTTCAAGTTCGTTGTGGTGGTTATAAAGGTAATATTTTGTCTTATTAAAACTATTGCAATATTACTTGCAAGAATTCACAGGTAAATGATTGAAAACTTATTGTAGGTATGGTTTGCTTGGATGCCGCCGGAAAGATTAATAATCCAAATACAGATGTTTGCTTTCGTGAGTCTATGAACAAATTCACTGCAAAAAATCTTTCTATTGATATTATACGTACGCCATTGCATCCAACAGTTGCTTATCTGAATAGACAAATAATTTTACTTTTGTCATCTCTTGGCATTGGCAATCAGATTTTTCTATCGTTACAAGACAATATGTTGAAAATGTTAGAAGCATTAGAAGGTGGTTATCTTGACGCATGTGACGCACTAAAAAAGCTGAATAACTTCGATGAAAATGGATACCACAGATTTTTAATTACATATTTAAAACATTTACATGAACAACGAGATCCATTTGTTCGACAACTTACTCGTGTTATTCGAACTTTTCTTGTTAAAGAATTACGAAGAAAAGCAAAGATTTTTGTACCAAATTCGTGGTCTTTACTCGGAGTAGTAGATGAAACCCGAACACTAAACTATGGCCAAGTTTTTATTCAAATCGATTCTGGTAATAAACAAACCGATGAGTCAACAGAAATTTTTCGAGGCCCTGTAGTAGTAACAAGAAACCCATGCTTTCACCCAGGTATGCAATTGAATTAATTTTGTAGTGACTTTTACCATGTCGTTTTTTAAATTAAAAGGTGATTTTCGAAGACTGACAGCAGTCGATGTACCTGCTTTGCACAAATTAAAAAATGTTATTGTTTTTCCGATGAATGGACCTCGCCCACATCCTGCAGAAATGTCTGGCGGTGACCTTGATGGCGATACATTCTGGATAAGTCGTCATCCAGATTTAATATTTAAAGAAAACGAAGATCCATTTGATTATCAAGATCAAGATGATGAAGCTATTATAATACAAACAACCAATGATATTCAACACACAATTGAAGATGTATGTAATTTTTTTGGTGAATACATTGCAGCTGATAAGTAAGCGAAAGAATTTGCATCCTATATAAACTAATTGTCTTTGTTTTAGTCTTGGTATGATTGCCAATAGTCATCTAGCTCTTTCGGATCAAATAGAAGGCGGTGCAAGAAACGAAAAATGCCTTCAATTAGCTAAAATGCATAGGTAGGTGAACCCTGTATCCCCTTCATTGACTATTGAAATTGCCATTTTGCAGAATGTTTGCAGAATATAAAGAAAGCGTGAGATCTTAAGACCATAAGAACATTTTGTGTAGCGAACTCAATGAGCTATCGATTAACGAAAAGAAAAATTTTTTTTGTCGTTCTGTTTTTGAAATATTATGGTAACACAATCAGTAATTTTGCAAAAGATGGAATTTTTCGAAACAGATCGTTCTCTACTTATAAGAGATCAAGAACTTTCGGAGTTTTTGTGTTGCATAAATTGATAAAGTTTTCTACTAGTAAGTTACATGTACTTTGCATATATTGCGATAATTAGGCGAAACCCACGCACTAATCTACACAAGTGATCGAGATGAAAAACCAAGTCATTTCATCCTCTTACCCCATCACACAATTAATCGGTCTATTACATGGCACTACACAAGAAGATAGAGATTTGGTGAATCAGACTACATAATTATAATACTAGATACGCTAGTACCTGTTGAAAAATTTTTAGGATTTTCAATCGGATTTTTCTGCAACAAAATAAAAATTATAATCGATTGGTAATTTAATCATGACTGGGCTATTATTTGACATTGTTTCTTATTCAGTGTGAAATTTTCTGATTGAAATCAGATTATTATGCCGGACAATCGAAATCATTAATCGATTGATAAATCTGGATTTGCTACAGAATCATCCGATTTTAATCAGAAAATCCCACACCGAATAAGTATTAACAGCAATAATCAAAATTATTAATCGATTTTATTTAAAATTTTGTTGCAGAAAAATCCGATTGAAGATAACGAAAATTTTGTGAAGCACGAACTGGAAGGAGTGTTGAAGTATATAGGGTAGAAAATCTGCCTTCCCCCACAGCTCGTGACAGATGCGGCACGTTACCATCACAGATCGTAACAGACTTCTGAAAATTCATCACAAATCGTGACAAACTGATAAAAAGAGCATCACCGTTAGTGTCAGACTAATAGAGACGGAGTAGAGATCGTCACAGACTTTGATTGAGAAACTTGTTGTAAAGCGTCAGATAAACGGTTGGCTACAAGTGTATCGTACGAAATGGAAAAATACAACTTTTATTGAAATAGAAACACCAGTTCCATCGTGTTTCACATTTTTAATCCCGTAAGAGATTGCGCTAACAGCTTTTTATAGTTATTTTTGTTGGCGACTCATCTGGAACCGATACAGAGAATAAAGGGTTAAGTTAAATCTATGATCATTGTTTGCATAGTATTATAGTTAAGTCACAGTAGAATTAATCTTTGATGTTTCTTCTGATTCAGCTAAAAGGAAAGAAATCAGTATACATTTTCGTCGTTACTATTATTGAAGACGTGTGATTTTCATTAAAGGCAACACACGAATATTTGAGTTTAATGATTTTCGTGAAATTAGAAAATCAAATCCTAACTTTAATAAATACAATCGCACACTGGATTGTGATCATGTGAATAATGTATCCATAGAAACTATTTCAACAAATTCGAAAATATAGCGGTCCACTCTTAATATCTCTTAGTCATAGTTCTTCTTGAATGTGAGTGCGACTTTAGTCTTTGTTAAGATCTCTCGAAAAAGGGTTTCATTTAAAATTGACTGAAAAAATTTTATTCACTTATAAGACAATTTTGATATTGCCGTACTATCATGTCATGACTAACGTATATCGAGAAAGTCAGGCAATATAGTACATTTGCACCTTTCATTTGAGTTTGCTTCTCTACAAGAGTGAACGTTTTGAATAAATTCTCTTGGCATAGGTTTATATGAAAATGTTTGATCTTTCACATGGTTATTAATTAGAATTGATTAGTTGACTAACTAATTGAACAGTAATTAACGATTATATCCCTGGCCATATAAGGAAAAAATCTAAAAACTTTAGGATAGAGTCTAGGATACAAGCTGCATCTATGGTAAAATTTTTATCGATATTAAACTCCGAAAAATCGGTTTTCTAGAGATCCTAGAAAGTGAAGAAGCACAAAATTTTGTCTTATGATCATCTAACAAGTCCTAGTAGGGACTTGTAGCATTTAAAGTCGATTTTGAACTTTTCAGTTGACTATAACAAAGCAATCTCAATTGTGTAGTCGTACTGTGCCACGCCACTAACGGTTCTTTTTTATAATAACTCTTGTGAAAAAAGATTCACAGCAATAACTATTTTAGGGTATCTCAAGGAGAGATGCAGAACCTGCCCACGTGTAGGAACGTGTGTTTGGAGAAAATCTTTTCAGTCTAGGAAAATTTTCAAAAAAGTATCGATCTGAGAGAATTTTTTTCGTTTCACGACAGGTTCTACATCCCTGATCTAGAGTAATCTAATGTCTATGCAACATAAAAATCAGATCTACAAAAACTTTCAATCTCGAGATAAACGCATTTTGATTTTCCGAAGTCAAGTCAATAATAAATGATTTTGCTCATATATTCGAACTTCTATAAACGAGAGCATACTTAATAAAAAGAATCTCACAAGTTTTTTGTAGAGTCTTTTCATCCAAAAGAATCAGCTGCATTGCACGTGACCAGCTATTCCGCAATTCTAGTAAGACCTACAGTACTTTCACATGAAAAAATTTTAAACAAAACGCTAAATGTTCGTTGTAAGTTATTAACAATACAAGGTTTCTCTCAGTAAAATTATCCAGAGTTAAGTTTTCAGATTGACACGAACAACTCACTATCAATGTGAAAAATGAAACCTAACTCTAGAACGATTTATATGTATGGCATCAGAGTATGTTTATTTTTCAAACTGCAGCTGTTCATTACATAAATTATGTTCATATGAAAGGAGTCACTGAATCGAAGCTGTTAGAAAATCAGAATTTTTGAATTCTTCAACTTTGCAATATTTCGAATGAAATGCTGACGAAAAAGCAAATATCATACTTATAATTATAAACATGAAAGACGCTCATTCACATGCTAGTTATTGAAAGTCAGCGATAGTTCTTGTCCTGATATGCACAATTATTATAGATAAAATTATTTTTAGAATATAAAACAATTTCCTCAATAATATTCACCTATCTCTAATGATATTTCTGTGAATTGAATATAATTCAGGTGTTAATATATGCTTCACCTGTGTTGAAATTTGGCAATACGTTCTATCCCTAACTTAACTCGATTTAACTGAAGCTAGAATAAAAAAAATCACATATGATTTCTCTAATGATACTTTATTATCTAATAAGCTATGCTCAAAACAATGTCAAAATATATACCTACTTCTACCATCATTTACACTATCATTTTACTGATGGGTTTTATGTTTGACCGCAGTTCTGATTTTATGAGAAAGGTTCAATTTATGGTTTTCTTTTTGTATATAGCGTAGCTGTAGATTTTGCCAAAAAAGGAATCAATGCACCTCATCTTACAAAAGAGCTTCGTCCTCCACAGTATCCGCATTTCATGGAAAAAAACGATAAGATAAAATATCGTTCAAAATCTATTCTCGGTCAATTGTATGATAGAACTCAATCTTATGATAGCGATATACATGTAAATGAAGAAGAAGAAATCAAGACAACATCATCATTTCCCTATAAATCGTTTTTTATTGTTGGTGACAAATGCTATATAAAAGATGCGCGAATGATAAAATCTGAATATGATCGAGACATATTAAGAATTATGCGGCAATATGGTATTCAATATGAAGCTGAAATTGTATCAGGTTGTCTTCTTAAATTCACTTCGAAACAATATGCAAAAGAAACAAAAACTTTTGATTTAAGAAATGAAATCACACATGCATATAAAATTCTACGAGATAAGTAAGGATATAAGAGAAGCTTGTTGTTGTTTTTGATTTTCTTTTTCTTCAGATATTTGGTTCTCTTTTGGGAAGAATTCTATCAGGTGACAAATGAATCGGAAGAGGAAAAAACGTCATGGTCCGAAATATCAAAAAAACTAACTTGGAAAAATCAAATTGAAATATATGAGTTCCACAGAGAAATGGTATTATCAGATACAATTAAACAAAAAGCATCGGCATGGTTTCGCATTACTTATGAGCCATGGATTAAACATATAGAAACATACCAAAAGAGAAAAAACAAGAAACAAAATACATCGATGGATAATCAATGGGCAAAACAATATACACGATTCAATAGCTTGTTTAGTTTTGCTTGGTTAGTGTATCCGGTCTTGTTAAAGATATATAATGAACATGCAAAAACATCAACAAACAAAAACAAAAGAAAAAATGCACCTATACAACCTACTATTCAGACTAAACGGCTAAAACTCAACCAACGTCACTGAAGTTCTCTGACACAAAAGAATCGATCATTCCCACTTGAGCTTTTTTATGTAATTATTTCTATTATCTGAATCTGTTCATCCAATTTATTCCAATAATCGCGATATAATTCAAAAGCTATATGTATAAATTTGGCATATTTCATCCGAAAATTCATTGAAACGGTTCTTTTATGCTCTTTCATAGTTGGATATAAATCTTCGCAGAACCTACACCCTCTATTTGACGCGCCTTATCCATGACAATTAATGAATGAATGTTGTAGAAAAGTCTTACAAAGCGCATTAGAAAAACATTTTTCATTTCTCAAAATAGTGAGAAAAATATTCTTATTGATTTCTTTTGAGGAAGGTTGAATAATTCATTTTTTAATAATTTTATATCTCTTCCTTTATTAAAATATATAACAAGATAATGTAGCAAAATTTACTTTAATTCATATATAACAGAGGTCCAAGCAGGCCGCCTTTTTGTAGGCCTGGCCTGCCTGCGCCAGGCTTGTGTCTTCCATGGCCTGCCTGGCCTGCCTGGAAAGGCCTGTATATTTTTTTAATTGCAATAATATGATGATAACTGAACAGAAATAACAAGATCATCATAAAGAATGAGACAAGTGACTTGTTTAAATTTAAGATGACTAGATAATCATTTTTTATTCAACAGTTTTGATATTAAATAAATAACTGAGCACAAAGACAGTAGTATTAAGAAAAAAAATCTGGATTTTGTTCAAGCAGATTTTGAATGGATCTGACAAAAAGAATGTCGTTCACAGTATCAGGATCAAGAGAAGAACGACGTTCAGTAACAGCTAAACCTGCAGCAGAAAAAGAGCGCTCGACTGCAGCTGAAGTAACTGGTATAGAAAAAAGACGTCGAGCGAGCAATGATAAATACGGAAACTTGTGCTGGTGATGTTTCCAAAATGGTAATGGGTTTGATTGTTTATAAATATCTTCAATATTCATTCTTAAATATTTATCTAATTCATCATTTTTAACTGTTGTTGTTGAAACCATATCAATACCACCAACATCATCTGGATCAGCAAACTGGTCCTCCATGGATTTATGTTTTTTTTTTGATGGTTCAGATAATGTCATTTGTTCTTGACTATTCAAGCCAAGAATTTCGTCTACTTGTTGATGTATATAAGAATGTGCAATGGTCTTCGAATATGTTGAAGCAAACGTTAATCTTCTGTATAGAGGATGCAAGACTGCAGCAGCCAAATGTTTTTCATCAAATGTAAACATTGTTCGTAACAGTTGAAGTAACCGTCTACGAAAAAACTCTGTACCTAATTACAAGAAAAATAATGATGATCAACAAGTAGTTTCATTAATATCTATTAATCACCTTCGTGACGATCATCAATAGTAATAAATTCACCACTTTCATCGGCATCGGTACCACTTAAATGACGCTCCAATTTGTTCATAGCAATATAGGCCATGTGTAATGATGGGCGTGTTCCGGTTTGTACCAATATACACACGTCTTTGAAAACTGATAGAAGACAAATTAAATCCTTCAATCCATCTACATTGATTTTGATCAATTTAAATGCCTGTTTACTATTTGCCGACTTTGACAATACTAATCGTAGATGTTCATAAGACAAATCTATTGATTCAAGTAGATTGGACAAGGACAACCAACGTACTATTGTTGCTTGTTTAAGAACAACACCACCACCATCTTGAATTGATTTATTTAATCCTGTCTGTATGAAAGAGAATTCCATTAAAATAAAAGATGGTAAGCTGCTACTGTAAAGTTTTTGCTGACCTGTTTAATGTATTTAACTAATTGTTTACTTGTTGTGATAATATCTAGTAATTCACTTGCTTTTGATGTTAATTCAGAAAGTGACGTGTTTGATTCTATATATTTTGATGGTGATGGTGTCTTAGTTTCATCTTCTGATGAAGTATCATCTGATGAACTTTGAATAATAGTTTTAGATTTTTTTCCTTTTGTTGTTGGTGTTGTTGATGCTAAAATAATTCTTTTTTTTTTGTGCTGTTTCATAGAAACATCTTTTAAGGATATTGTTCATCCGATGCGCAAAACATAATATAACTGGTTGTCCTAATATATCAATTTAATTTTTAAAGAATGAACTAAACTTAGAATAAACTTGCCTTTGAGAGCCTTTAATATATTTGGACCACGATCACACGTAAATACAATTTTATTGTTGTCCATGTAGGATGTTAAGCCATACAAATCGAGTTGACGACGAATAGCCTGAAAAACATCGCATATTCATAGTTTCATCGCTTAAATAGTTTGCTTACTTGTAATATACTATCACCACTTTTATCTACTTCTTGGTACTCACAACAACACAAATCCAATAAAATCAATTCATAATTTTTATTTGCAAACATGGCTGTTAAACCAAGATAATTCACCTTTCTATACTTATCAGTCCATAGATCAGGACATAAACACAAACAGCTATTTGCTGCCTGTTCGATTAATATTGGTTGCAGAAGTGATCGATATTGTTCAGCTAATTGATGAACGTTTTTTGATATTGTTGTTGGTGTTACTAAAAGCTGAGAACTATCGAGATCTGGATATTTCCTACCTAAAGACTATGAAAATTTACGTCACGGTACACAGAAATCAAATCGAACTCATTGAAGTCCATAGCTGTTTGCAAGACGTTTCTCAAACCTAGATCTTCGATGATATTAAATGGACGAATTGAGGTGCATATCCATTTAGTTAAATCATCTTTTATTTTTGTTGAATCTTTTGAGTTTAACGTAACTGAAGTCGTTTTTTTCGACTTAAATAATTTCCCCAAAGGCCCTTCGTGATAATGTTCTGATGAAAGTGCTGATTTTGAACAAACATGACGTAAAAGATGTTTCGTACTACCACTCCCGTCTGAATGAAATGTATAGGTTGTTTTACATTGAAAACAACTTGCAAAACCATGTATACGTTCATATGTACCATTTTCAATTAATCGAGCTGGAAATCCAAAAGTTGCCCAAGCACTAGATGATTTTTTCTGACTGTTTTCAATCACTGTAAATTCTTTACGATTATCTTTCCGTTTTAACATGTTTTCAATTGAAGATGTTGTAAAAGTTTGATTTATTTGTAAACGAGATGGAGAATCATCAATAAGGATCGAAGATGAAAGACCAATATCAGTCATTTCACGAGAAAAATCAGTTGAAATATTAATACTTAAGTTTTTCAGAAATAAATAAAATTTTAACAAGAATCAATAATGAAAATTTATACAATAACCATTAATATTTTAACAACAATCTATGATGAAGATCTTAAAAACCAATAGTAAAGATTTTAATAATAATCAATAATGATTGTTTTAACAATAATCAATAACAAATGATTTGACCAAAATCAACAATAAAGATTTTAATAATAATCAATATAAAATATTTCAGCAACAATCAAAAATAAAGACCTAAACAAAAACTAATAGTAATTGTTTTAACGATAATCAACAAGAAATACTTCAATGAAAATAAATGATCTTCAAAAAAATCAATAATAAAGATTTTAATAATAATCAATAATGATTGTTCTAACAATAATCAATAACAAATGGTTTGACCAAAATCAACAATATAGATTTTAAAAATAATCAGTATAAAATATTTCAGCAACAATCAAAAACAAAGATCTAAACAAAAACTAATAGTAATTGTTTTAACGATAATCATTAATATATATTTTAACAGCAATCGATATCAAAAAACGACACGGATGAATGAGGACATATACAATAAAAAGAGAGACAGTATGTTTGTTCTAGTCATTAGTCACAATTTCAACAAATCGTAATGAATAAGAATATTATTCTTATTGTTCTTCATTACACCTCATTGCTAGCGACATCTTGAATTGAAAAGGAAAAGTTAATGTCGAGGAAAAAATTTCAAATTGAAGAAATAATTTTACACATAAAAAACTAGACAGGCCAGGCGGCCTGGTACTTTTTAGTGGCCTGCCTGGCCTGACGAAGAGATTGGCCTGGCCTGCCTGTCACAGGCCAGGCCCAAAAATCGTGGCCTGTGCCTGTGACAGGCAGGCAGGCAGGCCTAGTGGCCTGGTTGGACCTCTGCTAAGTACTCAAAGTCTTAAAATAAAGAAGAACAATAGTCCTTCTGTACATGTTATTTGATTTTATATTCTTTTTTGTACCAATAAAAATATCCATTGATAATTCTAATGTCTTCCAAACGACAATCGTAACCACTAAAAACTTGAAGCGTGCTCGAATATGTATTTTAGATGCTTCTTGTTAGTAAGATCAGCTGCGAAAATAAGGAGTAGCGCTGAAAAGCGTGCTTTTATTCATCTGCTACAAAAACTGTGAGTTTCGATATATCGTGAGAGAATACTGGAAGCAATGTGGTAATTAGACTAAATAAATCATTTTCAATACTATGTGGTAAGGTGTATTAAAAGTGTCAAAAAATGATCGTTCAAAGTTTTCCAAGGTTCTCTGAAAAACTTTTGCAGAATCTTAACAATTTCAGTGAAAAGCGAATTCACCATCATGTTCAGCAGATAAAATAAACGTTTTCTCAATTTGTGAACCTTTTGCAACTTTTGATATAACTATTTTGTAGCCTTCTTGGTTCGTTTCGATCAAGACATGTCATTATACGTTGACTCATAGAAATCGATGTGCCAATTCGTCATTTCGTAAATATTTGTTATGTTAGAGAACTTTTTTCAGAAGTCATTCGATGTGCTCAGCATGATGATGTACTCGGTTTCCATGGTAGCTCTTGATATTCTTAGAAAAACTCTCCAGAGAATCCTAAAAAAACTCCAAAGCGCATATTTTACCGTTTTTTGAATTCTCTATTTAATAAGAACCTCGAAAATCATGTAATCAATCGAAATTTCACACCACTTCGAGTGTTCTATCAGGAAGCTTCGCAGTTTACAGTTTTCGTAGGAGATCGAAAAAAAATCAGGGTGTGGGTGTGAAAGAATAGAAGATTCACACCCACACCCACACCTATACTTACCCTCATAATGTTCGTCTTCTTTTCGAACATGAAAACAAATATTTTATTCTCTCTAACTGTATTCTATGTTAATGTGATATTTGTTGTGCACAGAAATTTGTCGAATTGATCTGGTTTTTGTATGAAAATCATTCTAAAGCTCTTCTGTTGGATGACTAAAGAAATTAACTTATGGAGAGTGACAGGAGGCCATCATAGAAAAGCTTCCTTAGTACTTTATGAAAACTACTAGCCAATATTGATAGTTATGATCTTTGAATTGAAGTTGTATGAAATAAAAAGTAATATCAATGATGACAACGATTTTTAGATTGTATGGTTAAGAGCAAATTCAAAAAAGTACTCCAAAAACAGTCATTCACATCGAATCCCACATGTTGATGCTTTCAACTATTCGAACGAACTAGTTAATGAATTGATCCAAACCCTTCTTGAAGTGATGGAATTCCTTAAAAAACATTCTTCAGCCTGCAAATAATCGCGAAGCCACAACGGAGAGATGTGTAGCGGCATTAGTTGTCACATATGCTCTTTCTTTCTTCTTGTTGTGTGTATATTTACTCATACATGTGATTTCTTTGTTACACTTATTTATTTTGCGTTTTATTTTTCGTTTCCTATCAGTCATTGTATAGTCTTTTTTACTGTTATACTTTTTCTTGACTGTTTAATTCAGTTACTTACTTCATCACAATTTTTTCCTCCTTCTTCTTCTTTCACCTCTCGTTGTTTTTTCATATATTCTTTTTCGTATTCATCATTTTTTGGTCAATAAAACGACAGATATTCATTGGTGTTAAATCATCATCAACGGCTTAAAAGTAGCATCTGAGATCATATCAAGTTCTGTCTTAGGGGTTCAAGTCCTAGTCGAAGTCTCAAGTCTTGCCACCCAGAAACAAATTCTGTTTAGCATGTCAGCTCTAATTGAACGACAAAAGTCCCTCTGTACGGATATCGATGAAGGGTGGTACTTAATAGTTCTTAGATAGGAAATCAAAACAGTTTTGTCATCTTCAGTGACAAGACATGACGGGACATTTGTACTTTCAGAAGTTTTGGAGCGCATAATAAATAGAAAGGCAGCTTTTCGAAAATTTGTTCAAATATCATTTTCTTTACTCGACTAAGTCTTATTTGCTGCGCGAACTAACCTTGGCAACAATTTATAAGTTTCTATGTTAGAGATAAGCTGCTTCCGACAGTAAAGCAGGGTCGGAATGTGTGAAAAGAAGACCCATACCTACAGCTACATTCCACATATTAAATACTAGGCTACCGAGCTCACCAGAAAAAAATTCTTTTCAAGCTCCCCTTAGAATCCTATTCAGTTTTTGTTTCGTCATTTTTTGAAGGCAAGTTAGAATGAGCTAAATAGTTACGTTTCATATACAACCTCCATTTTTTTCCATCTACGGGTACGAAAATTTACGATCGTAATATTGTGTCAGATAAAACAGTCAGATACTGTCGTATATGGAGAGTATATCGCCTGTGTATGGTCGTTTACGATCGTTTATCTCCTCCGTATTTATCGTTCTGTAACATGATCCATCACATCTGCGTAGTTAAGCGGTTTGTTTTCGCTCGTATCGTTTGCAATGAGTTGCGCGTGTTGATAAAGGAATAATACAACTCCATACTTCACACACATACATCGTTTGAATAAAAATTTGAATAAGCCTGAATATGTGAAAAATGGGCAAGCGGCGCAAGTGTGACGTATAGTGTACATGTATAGCGTTTTTGATTCGATAATATGGCATCGACATAGATGTCAAGTGTGTGTGTGTCGGCTTTTTCATATTCACACTCTGAAATAATTTTTTGCTTCGCCGACTCATTCCTTTCGTGGCATATTCAATTCGTTCTCTCATTAGAACATTGAATGCTTTATATTAAAAAACACAGTGATACATTTTTCTTTTGCTTTTTTAGCTGTATTTCATGCATTGCTCAAGAAACATGCAGGCGGATGCACAAGACAATACCTTAGTAACATCACTACACAAAAGCGAACAGTAAGAATACGATGTATCTTGTCTTGCTCCCGCTTGCCTACCTCTTTTCATGTGTACAACTAGGGATTCAACCTTATTAAATTCAGTCTATCCATGGCTACGATTACCATCGACACCTCAACTTCCACTTCCCCATGCCGGCCAATATGCATCTGTCAATGGCATCCGTATATGGTATACGATTTATGGACCAGCTGATGGCATTCCCATTCTCTTCCTTCATGGTGGCTTCGCTAATAGTGATTATTGGGGCTTACAAGTTCAACAACTTCAATCCACTTACAAGTGTATTCTGATGGATTCTCGAGGCCAAGGTCGAAGTCCATCACCGTCGGCCAATATAACCTATGATCTGATGACTTCGGATGTTGTTGGTCTACTGGACTATTTAAATATCAATCGAATCCATCTAGTTGGCTGGAGTGATGGGGCAATTATTGGCCTCAATATGGCAATGAAATATCCTCGCAGATTAATCTCCTTATTTGCATTTGCAGCAAACTATAACTCTTCCGGTGCGAAAGACATTTCTGTATCACCTGTCTTTCCTGTTTATCTCACACGCAGTAAATCCGAATACGAACAACTGAGTCCAGTTAAAAACTATCAGGATTTGTACAATAATTTAACAACAATGTGGTCTACTCTTCCGAATTGGACAAAAACAGATTTCAACAAGATTCCCCATGATTTACCTGTGTGGATCGTTGATGGAGATCATGAAGAAGTCATAAACAGAGAACAAACGGACACGATGACTACTTGGATCCAACAAGCTGGAGAAATGATCCTACCGAAAACTAGCCATTTCGCGTTCATTCAAGATCCGATAAACTTTACTGCTGCTGTGGCAAGATTCTTGACTGAAACGTAGCATTTGTGAACAGTAGCTCATAATCAAATGTCGCCATCGTGCGTATTTTAAATATGGACATTGTTCGTTCGTAGTCTTACATAAAATATTCCATACCAACACTATCATTAGATGTGACCATTCGAGTAGTTCAAATTTTTTAACAGTTACGAAACATTTTCTTTTGGGGTGTGAGTATGAATGTAGATAAAGACAATAGTAACATCCACACCCACACCTAACCCGCTGAAGAAAATTTCAAGATAAATGGTTGAAATCAGTCAGAATTACATATTACTGTTTTAATGAATTGCACCAACTCTCATGCTAAGAATACCTAAAAATAACCACATAAATCAAGCTAATTGCAATCGTTGATAGAGACAGCACTAAAATATCGAAATGAGGACAAGATAACTTTGAGATATATTGCTTATGTTAAAATATCGTCGCTTGAATCAAAAATCTATAATGGTCTGCTAGCTACATCGAATAAACGTCGATCAACTCATAACTAACACTTACGATTAAGGTTAGTATAAAACGATGTCCCTGTGATTGACAACAGCAGTTAATACTATGTTTCACATTCGCATTCCACTGGAATTGCGCTAATGTATGTAATCATCGAACGTGTTTATTTTAGTTTTTTTGCATATTAAGAAGAATATTATTTTACTGGTATATTAAATAATTGATACTGATCTATGCGTACATTGATCGAAGAACTCTTTAATTCTTAAAGAAATACAAGTATTGAAGCATATATATCCAGACTAATCTTTTCACTATCATTACACAATAGATTCCCATTTGATTATGTCATGTGCATTGTTGAAACCATATAGATTCGTAATCATTAAACTTTTGTCATCAAGAGATTGCACACTTACCTTTCGAACATTTTTAACAATAAATCTGTACACTTCTCATTGACATGACATTGTCAAATTCAAGAAGATTAGTTAATAAAGGATAAAAAAATTCTTTGTTTTGTGACATATAGTGATCTTGTTCATTCGTATATACTTTTAAAATATGATATCAAATTTAATAATCTATACATAACCTTTCTTTAGACTGAAGTCAAATAAATGCAAACTATGTAGTTCGTATTAATGTTACAATATTTTAACGAAATGAAAAGGAATTCACATATACATATATATATACTCAGTGCTATGAAAGATAGAAGAATTCCTACTGAACATTGTCAGAAAGAAAAAAATCGAAAACTCGTTTATATTCGAATATAAAATAAGATGTTGTTGACCAACGACAAAACAAGACGCAGCTGTTTTCTGTGCTTTTTTCGCGTATATTAGTAATATCTGTTTTGACACTGTGTATGTTTCAGCAGTCTTGCTAAAATACTGAACTTAGGTAATGTTTCCAAGCCATTGTAGCTTGACCAATAATATCTCATTGTATTTTCAAATATAAAGGATTTTTCAAACTTTTTCTTTTTTAAAATGTTTAGTAGGAATTCTTCGATCTGTATATATGACTTTCAAGCAAAACTGAAGTAATCTTGATATCAAAATAACAAAACTACAATATTGATTCTACAATTTTTTACAGGGAAAATTGATCGATTTTAGCAGATACTTGTTTTCTCAAACTCAGTAGTATTATTGAGGAATCTGATTGTGTGATTCGATCGAGCATACTGAAACACATATAGTCACATAGACTTTGCTTCTCTCACAAGTCTAAACTAGCAGAGAATGAACAAACAATTAGAATCGAACAGGTAATTCTATATATTTTTCACAGCACTATACATATATATATATATACATGAAGATGTATATCATAATAATTGTTCAAGTTCATCAGCTGATCGACATAAGTATGAAGCTGCTTCACGATAAGCATTGACGAGAACTTTAATAGAAGTTGCTTCTGTGTTAGATAATTTCATTTGTTTTGATGATTTAACAGATGATGAATCACTCGTTCCTGTATAAAATTAAAGAAATAACATACAAAAATTATGAAAAAGGAAAATAACCATTCGTATGTGTATGAGATGAAACGAATGTTGGTGGAGGTGGTGGTGCTAATGGTGGTGCAAGGGAAGTTGTATTTGTTAATGATTGAAGAAAAGTTGACGGAGAAAAATTTGGACGAAAGAGAGATGATGTTGAACTAGTACCGTTCGAAGGAGTAGCAGCTGAAAAATAAGCAGATAAATCAAGTGATGGTCGAAATTGTTGCGAGAAAGCATGACGAAGAAAATCAGCATCAAGTGCTGATAATGTTGATGATGATACCAAATCTGGCTATAAATAAGAAAATAATTAGTATTGAAATATTCTTTTTAAATTAACTTACTGTTGTTGTTGTTGTTGTTGTTGTCGTTGTTGGATTATTTGATAATGAACTTGATCGATTTTTTTTGCTGTTATTTTCATTAGAATTAAATCGTTCATTGGTTGTAGATAAAGCTTTAGAATGATCCTTATAAAAAAAAAGAATAAATATTATTAATAATTCAACTTAAAATTAAATGTTCTACCTTATGTAAGAATGGACTAGGTGTATGTGAATTTGTTGAAGATGATGGTTGAGTTTTACGTAATTTTAATGCACTACGAATCATTCGTCGAATACGATCAACAGATAAATCACGATATTCTTCGATGCAAGCATTTTCAAGTGCTTTCATTTGTTCATCATATGTTGAACCAATTGATGTTGATTCATTAATTAATGTTTGAATAAATGACTATAACAAGAACATAATCTGACTAGTAGGTAGTTAGATTTTCTTATTAACTTACTTTAAGATTTTTTATACGTTGTTGTGATTCATTTTCTTTTTTAACTTTACTATTATCAGTCGATTCAATTTGACTAGATGGATCATTTTGATTTGAATGATGCATTTGTTTAACTGATGAAGTTCCGTCAGTACTATGTGGTGATCGAGAGCGGTCTCTTGGTGAATGAGCAAGCATATCTAAAAAAAAACTAGATGATCACCTACTCAACATCAGTTACAATGGCAAATCTTAATATGAAATGATGAAGAAAAGAAAAAGAGGAATCTCGTGTTCATTTCATTTTCTTTTTTTCTTTTTTTTGTTCTCATCATTTTTTTCCTTTCAGTTGCTTTTTCATTATTTATGAAAATACGTAGTGATGAGTGAACAGACCTGATATGTTCTCATTTTTTTTCCTTTCTCTCATTTTTTTCCTCATATATTAATCTGTTGACGCTCTACCGCATGTTCAGTTTGACATGCTCGTCGACTTGTCTCACTAATAGGACGATGCTTGAATCAATTTCAAAGAAAAAACTTTGAGCTGCACATAAGAGAGGAAAGCAGCACACAACGGACGGAAGGCTATCTTCCTGTATTGTTCTCCCAAAAAAAAAGTTTTGCTCTTTCTTTTTGACTAAAAGACATCTCAACACTATAACCAACGAAGGTGAAAGCCGGTAAACGTCTTTATGTGTGTAATGTCGGTAAAGTATTAAAAACAGAAAGAGAATGTAGTAGTGAGTATGCTTATTCCGCTCGTCTAACAAAGAAATTGATAATGAAGACGAACGACAAGACATTTTGCACTATTACTCATATAACTTTTCCTTCTCTTCATCTCCCCCAAAAAAGGAACGGTGTGTTTCTTCTATCCGACGAAGCCGACAATTCCTTTTTGTCATCGTCCAAAAAAAATGACGATGATGATGAAGGCATGAACAGAAGATCATGTTTTCTATTCTTAAATGGAATAATATAAGATGAATGAGCACACATACACAAACATGCACACGCTACATAGCTTAGATTCTACCACATACCAAGACAATCACAACTAACCAAGATTGATTTGATAGTACAACGGAAGTGAAATAGTGACGTTGTAATAATAGTAAAAAAAGAAGAAATTCTATCGTCTATCTGTTATCATTAAATGATGTTAGCATATACTCTTTATATAACAAAACAACGGAAATATTTTCAATTAAAATATTTTTAAATATTAAATTTCAATAATATTAAATTTACCATTTATTTTTAATGTTATTTATTTTCAAAATATTAACTAGCAGTAGTAAAAAGAATAAGATTATTGTTTATCAATGATACACTTTCTTTGTTTCCTCTAATCATAGACTTCAATAATTTTTAGATTCATCAGTTGAGTTTTATCTCTGATAAGAACAGTAATAAAAAGAAAAAACAAAAGAAAGCCTATAAAGAAAAAAAAATGGATGAAGGCAGGAAAATAATCAGTGAATAGAAAGACAATCACAAAAAAATCCAATCGATCAGCAAATCTTAACTTATATGCTGACAGAAGAAAAAGAAAAGAGACAGCAGATTTCGATAAACAAAAGATAATTGTTACAAAGCTATATTAATGATGAGCAGATTTTTAAAGTAGAAGAAATTAAAATACACATGGCAGGTACTTAACATTGTCTTCAATTGCGATATGTATCTCTCTTAAACCTATTGAAAATAAAATGATATTTTATTATTGTTGAGAAATTATTTGTTCTACTCATTGTTATTGATTACATTTAATACAACAATATAATTAGCTATGACTTTAAGCGCAACAGAAGAAAGGATCTTTATTATTTTGTATACTTTTGCATTTAATATTTAAAGAAAATTACTAACATCAGATTCAAAACAAAATTTAATCTTAGTTTTATCAGCCTCAGAACCAGCATTGAACCATGATGATTCTCCACAAGTTTATTCTGTGATTTACTCTAACTCAATGTGTTTAGAACCTGGGGGAACTAAATTGAACTTTAATAGACTTTAAGATCAAAAATCAATTTCCAATGTTATTCATATTTTATGAATATGGATATAGCTAGAAGATCACAACAGTATAGCAACTTGTTAGAATTGATATACGTTGTCAACATTACAGTTCATTCGGCACAAAAATTGATTGAATTTATTGGTCAAGTTGAAGTTTTTGTTTTATACAGATTATTTAGAGTAGATTCCTTATCGAATAAACGTCGAATTTATTGTATATTAGTCTAT